TCTGAAACCCACAGAAAAGCCCTGAAACCATTTTCTCTCTTCCAAATTGACCTCAAATATTTCTCTGCAAGGTCGAAGGAAATGGGGAGCCTCCCCATTGTCTCTCTGCTCACAAATCCTGTCTCAAGGGCACATTTAAGATGTGAATAGGGTGAGCCTGTGACCTGGATTCAGGAGCTGAGTAGTTATCATAACAAAAGAGTGGCCAGGATGCCCCAGGTAATCCAATCAAGTAACCTAGCAGACAGGATAAAAAACAACGCACTCAGATTTCTGTTGTAGTCCGCCCCTTCTCTGATGTATTAAGGGGGTGGTCTTCGGCTACATCCCTTCTGTGCTGTAGGTATGGTGTATCTGGGGGTGGTGGTCTTGAGCTACAGGGTGGGCAATTTCAAAGTCTATATAAGGGCTTGCACACCTTTGTCTGGGGTCCTCCTCCTCTCTTCTGCGTGTGGGGTGAGCACCCTGTTGCAACAGCTTTAATAAAGATTAGGCTTATAGCCGCTTTGCTTTTGTATATCCTGGTCCGGTCTCGAATTTCCTAACCAGTGTGAGCCTTAAAAGGTATGCTCTCTCCAAAGGTCCAGTCTTCCTTAAGAAGTTGAACCCCTTGAAGGGACCCCTCAATATTCTTATTTCAGGTGCCAATTTGTATAAAATATTTGGGGGGTAGGTAAGTCCTGCCCCACATAATTGATCCCACGGCATAGCATGACACACACACACACTATTTGAATGGCAGTGCCCATCAACTTTGGCGGGGGTGGCCCTTTCATTGGCTGACTCCCCCGGGGGGGGGCTACTTAGCACCCTGCATTCAGGGTAAAGTAAAGGGACCCCTGACCATTAGGTCCAGTCGTGACCGACTCTGGGGTTGCGGTGCTCATCTCGCTTTATTGGCCAAGGGAGCCGGCGTTTGTCCACAGACAGCTTCCGGGTCATGTGGCCAGCATGGTTAAGCCGCTTCTGGCGAACCAGAGCAGCACACGGAAACGCCGTTTACCTTCCCGCTGGAGCGGTACCTATTTATCTACTTGCACTTTGTGCTTTCGAACTGCTAGGTTGGCAGGAGCAGGGACCAAACAACGGGAGCTCACCCCGTCACAGGGATTCGAACTGCCGACCTTCTGATCGGCAAGTCCTAGGCTCTGTGGTTTAACCTGCGTCCCTACCCTGCATTCAGGGTAGTTCAGCAATATTATGAAATAGCTATTGGAAGTGACTACCTTCAGAGATTTTGGGAGTCATTTTGAACTCAGGGATGTTGAAAAGGGAGATGAGGATTGTGCTTCATTTGCGGGGGGGGGATGCTGATCCTTTCCCTTAGCCGGTCAGCTGGTAGAACTTAACGGTTGGGAGATAATTGTAGTGCTCCCATCACTCACCACTGTTCTGTCCCATGATGCACAATCCGCCTGAAAAAGTAATAGCCAGGAATTTGCTTTCAGGTATAAGTGGGTAACAAGGACCATGCACTTAAGATGGTAAAATCTTCAACATTTTTGCCTCCACACAACAACCCTGTAAGGTGGGCCAGTATTTATCACTCCTAATTTCCAGTTGGAGTACCGGAGCTGAGAGATGGTGAAAGGCTCAAGGCCAAACAGTGAATTCATAACCAAAGTGGGGATGACACACTGGCTCCAAAATGAAATGTACAGCTTGCAGGAGGGAGATTTTTACTTCAGGCAGAGAAACTATTGGGCCAGTAGTCCCTCACATCAGCCAAAGGTTTGCCCTAGACTACTTCCCAGAATCCTGTGCAAGAGTTCCTGAGCAGATTTACTAAGCTGAGGAAGGGCTCCCTAAACGGAGAAAGTTTGAAATCTGCTGAGTTAAAAGAAAAAGAAAAGAAGATAGGAAAACAGATGGTTGAAGGGATGTTAAACAGCTTAATTGTTTCTGGATTGTCTTCCCCACCTGCAGGAACTGTAGGAAACTGGAAGGAACACTTCACAGTGGCTCAAAGTGAACAGCTAGATCATGTCTGTGCCCAGTTATTAAAGGGCAGCGACCTGACCTTCCGCACACAGCTGTAAGCATCTCTCCATGCCTCACAGAGAGACTTTCAGTCTTTCGACTGAAGAGGAGCTGAATAAAAGATCCATATTGATAAAGGGAAAATCTCTTTGTTATACAATACTACTGATTGAGGTGTTGTTTCTCAGACAGCTTTTAGGATGTCGTTGTTGTTTTACAATCAAGCAGTGTATAAATTTAATGAAATAAATAATTAAACCAGCTCCACACCGACTGGAGTCCTTAAGCCATTCCTAATTCATGTCCAGCAAACGTGTGAACAGGGGTGGACCTTGGTAATATGCCACCCTGTGCGAGGCCATTTGACACCCTCGCCGCAGCCCTCAAGGTGCCTGCTAGGACTTTGGGAAGGGGGCTTGAGGCTCTCATGGGGTCCTAGAGTCTTCCTACCCACTTCCCAACCCCCGTTAGTGTGTACACAAACAGAAACGAATCTAACGAAACAGTGCTGATGTGGACAGCTTGGGGGTGGAGGAAGGATCTGTGAAAAGCACTGATGAAGACAAGCACTGAGTTCTAAGGCAGCAATATGAACACAGCCTTAAAAATAGCAGGGGCTTTTCCTCATCAGATCTAAATTGAATAGGTCAAACGCCAGAGAATCACAAGGAAAGGGTTTGTTGGCGCCTGTCCTCCACCATTTGCCATATCTACACGGTCCTATAAAGTCCTTTCCTCACCAGCTAACACTGGAAGTGAGTCTGGCTGGGGGAAGGCAGTGCTGAGGCAAGAGAGATTGAGCACCACCTCACCGCGTGACATTTGGGTGTTTTAAATTGTACCCCGCCTTGTTTTAGGTCTTAAATGGGGCAGTTGCAAATGGGTCCCACATTTTCCTGCATAGTTTGTGCTTGAGAGGGTCTTTGTATATGAAAAACAAACATATTTCTGTTGCATGCTCCTCTCTTCTCTGAGCAACGAAACATTTCCAAGGCAGCGCTGTGGGGTTTTTGCAGCGTCAACCAACTAACAATGGGTGACCTGTCCTATTTCTCCCTTGTTGCCACCACCTGCTTATACGTCAGCCCTCCAGACAGCAATAATGTGGTATCGCCAGCAAAGCATCACAGAACAACTCACAAAGCAGAATAAGACCACCAGGAATGTACAATTGTTGCATCAAGAACATGTCCACAATAAAACACCACGGGGTGGGCAGTAGCAAATGATATTTAAGTGTTGCTCTAAATTGAACAAACAAAGGTTGAGCCTTTTCTATCGTGGCCTGTAGTAGGGCAAAGCAGTGGCATTGCATGGTTTGCTGGTGCCCAGGGCGCCTGCCACGGGGGGGGGGGGGGCAGAGGGTGAAAAGAACCCGCTGCACCAGCCCAGCTCTCACCACCAGAGCCAAGTGGGTCTGTGCTGCACCACCGGCCCACCCATGCAGGGGGGAGCCCAGCTAGCCGACACAACCCTTGGTGTGTGAATCCCGCCCCCGCCCCCCGCAGACACTGGCCAGGTAGCCATTCAGTGAGGGGGCAGGGGATGTGGTAGTGAGGCCAGGCTGGGCTTTGGGGTCCAGAGACCCCAGGCGGAAGGCAGGGCGGGACAGGGACCCCTGCATGGGGGTGCCTGGTTCATGCCCCCTCAAAATTGTATGCCTGGGGCTACGGCCCCCTGACCCCCTCATGCTGCGCCCCTGGGGCAAAGGTCAAACTATCAGGCAGGACACCTGGATTCTCTGTAAGAAAATATGGTTTACAGGCAGTATTAGAAACTGAGATATGAAAGCTAGGAGCTAAATGGCACCTTAAACCTAGGTTATGGGCACAACAATGGAATGTCTAGGCACACTTTTTAAATAACAAGAATACAAAGCTGAAAATGAGTAGACTGCAGCTAAAATATTATGTTCATTTTTCACATGGTCTAGTCCTTCCCTCTGGGAGAGACAGCAGTTGGAGGGGGATACTGAGATGAGGCCACTGGCTGACTATTATGCACTCTCTATGCCTCTTCTGACCACCCTCATGCCAGGGACTACTTGATTTCAGGAAATGGTAGACTTGATAGGACAAGGAAGAGATCTACATAAATGTGCTCAGATGCCCTTCACAGAGACGTGCCTTCCAAAATCCATCCCTACATTGACCTACATTGGCTCCCAGTACGTTTCCGAGCACAATTCAAAGTGCTGGTGTTGACCTTTAAAGCCCTAAACGGCCTCGGCCCAGTATACCTGAAGGAGCGTCTCCACCCCCATCGTTCTGCCCGGACGCTGAGGTCCAGCGCCGAGGGCCTTCTGGCGGTTCCCTCATTGTGAGAAGCAAAGCTACAGGGAACCAGGCAGAGGGCCTTCTCGGTAGTGGCGCCCGCCCTGTGGAACGCCCTCCCATCAGATTTCAAAGCGATAAATAACTACCTGACACTCAGAAGACATCTTAAGGCAGCCCTGTTCAGGGAAGTTTTTAATCTGTGATATTTTACTGTATCTTTGGTTTCTATGGAAGCCGCCCAGAGTGGCTGGGGAAACCCAGCCAGATGGGCGGGGTACAAATAATAAATTAATAATAATAATAATAATAATAATAATAATAATAATAATAATAATAATAATAATAATATTATTATTATTATCATCCCTCGGGTGAATAATAGGTATCGATTCAATTATATAATGGGTGAGAGTTTGAGTGTGTGAAAGGCTTCTTAGCACCAGGTTGGATGTTCACCCTCTGGAGTTGCAGTTGTGGAACAAGTGGAGGCGATGTCCTTTTCCTGCATGCTCAAATATCACCTCCAGGTCCATCTCCTGCCCCATTCCTTCCAGAGAGCCACAACTTGAGCCAGGGAAGTACTAATTTGTAAACGTTTGTTATCTAGACCTGCAGGATGCCTTGCCCTGAACTGAGTACAGTAACTGCAGATCAAAGGTTGAAGGCCCTTCCCTTGGTATGAAGGAATATGGTAGGACAAAGCTTATCCTGGGCTGTTCAGGAAACACCTGGGTTTGCTACCTGTGTACACATGCTAAGGGGTTAAATTAGCTAGGGTGGAGACTGAGGTTCCATACCAGTGCCTTTGATAAAGTATCATGGGACAGAGAGAGAGAGAGGGAGTTATCTCACACAATTTTAGCCAACTAGGGGAATTACTGCCAATTTAGGGGAAGGTCCTGGCTGGATGCCCAGCCAAAGCATACAGGAGACTTCAGCTGGGGAAGCACACACCCTGCTCTCTCAACTTGCAGTTCCTGGGTCAGGAACTAACTTCAGGAAACAAGAGGAAGACAGAAGAAAGGAGAGAAGTGCAGCTGTCCAAAAGGAGAGGAGAGCTGGTAGGTGGCCATGAAGTTTTACTCCCCTACTAGGATTTGGCCCAAAAGGAAGTAAAGGAAGCGGCACCAGCTCTTTGGGGGGGGGGACAAGGAGTGGGTCATATTTGACTACAATATCTTTTGCTTCCAGGTGATGGATCTTAAATCAGGGCCAGGAGATTTTGACCCCACGCAACCCAAGCGAGCAACCCTGGAGGAGATTGAAGGGGTCCTTTTCCCCAATACATTACGCGAGCACTGGGGTACCATACAGGGCTTTAAAGCCCGCCCTGACGATCTTCTCATCTGCACTTACCCCAAAGCAGGTAAAGGGGTTCATAAAGAGAGAAATAAGGAAAACTGAGCATGGCAGAGGGGAGATACTAAGGGAACATAAGGGATGGTGGGTAAAGGTAAAGGTAAAGGTACCCCTGCCCGTACGGGCCAGTCTTGACAGACTTTGGGGTTGTGCGCCCATCTCACTTAAGAGGCCAGGGGCCAGCGCTGTCCGGAGACACTTCCGGGTCACGTGGCCAGCGTGACATCGCTGCTCTGGCTAGCCAGAGCCGCACACGGAAATGCCGTTTACCTTCCCGCTAGAAAGCGGTCCCTATTTATCTACTTGGACTTAATTGTGCTTTCGAACTGCTAGGTTGGCAGGCGCTGGGACCGAGCAACGGGAGCGCACCCCGCCACAGGGATTTGAACCGCCGACCTTTCGATCGGCAAGCCCTAGGCGCTGAGGCTTTTACCCACAGCGCCACCCGCGTCCCATAGGGATGGTGGGACACTGGTTGAATAGTGGTGGTGCTTAATTTGAGCAGCAGCATAAAAGACAGTTCAAAACAAATTTCAATCACAAGACTATCATGGGTCCTATAACATACCTACCTGCAAATATACTAGGGGCCATGCCCCTGCTTGCTTGCTCGCCAACCCCCTGCCATCCCCCCATTAACCCCCTAGAGCTTCCTCTTCCCACTCCACTACTAACTACTAAGCTTTCCCACTTTCCTCTGGCAGGGACCACCTGGATCCAGCAAATAGTGAGCATGGTTCAACATAGAGGTGACCTGGAGAAATGTAATCAGAAACCCATCTATGAGCGGATGCCCTTCATAGACATGCCTCCTATGAAACCTTTTGTTTCTGGTGAGTAGTGTTTAACTTTGGGGAAGAGAGGGGTGAGGGTAGAGTGAAGGGCTTATCATCATGAGGCTGGATTGTGCCCTCTGTTCTTTCAGGTGTTGAACAGGCAGACCTAATGCCCTCTCCACGTATACTCAAAAGTCACCTCCCGGTTCAGCTCCTTCCTGCTTCTTTTTGGGAACAGAAATGCAAGGTCAGGATAATTCACCAGGGTGAGGTTGATGAAAGGGCAAGGTTTAATCTAAACCAATGTTAATCTCTCAGTTCCGTTGTTTTGATATTCTGGCACGAAGCCATGATCATGTGGAATTGTCACCCAAAGAGAGGATGTTTCAAGAGCACGGGTCTCTTCTTTTTGCCTTCATCATTGTCTTGCTTTTGCTTTTATCACGGAATAATTTCAGCTTCTAGACTTCGATATTTTGAGGAGTGGGCTGGCCTTGTGTGAATTTGTCCTTCCAGACCAGCTTTGAGCCTTCATAACCTCTTTCCACTAAAAGGAATTAAACACCAGCACAATCCACGTGAGGTGGTTGGTGGGTTGGTGGTATGGCTGCTTCTTGTTTCATTCCACTGAGCAATGAACGAACGAACTAACACACACACACACACACACACACACACAATCCAACCCAACCCAACCCAAATAATATTCTTAATAAAAATCACATCACATGGGCTTCCATTTAAGAACCATCACTTCATTTAATGTTTAAAAGCAAGGCATAGGTAACTGCTGGCAAAATGAGGGGAGTACACATTGGAGCTGAGAGGGTGAGCGAGAGGCCTGGCGCTCGGACTTCCCTGTCATCTTTTCTTTCGGATGTATTTCTGCAGGTCATTTATGTGGCCAGAAATGCCAAGGACAATGTGGTCTCCTATTTCTATTTCCACCACATGAGCAAGATAATGCCAGAGACTGGAACCTGGAATGAGTTTCTGGAGAATTTCGTTGCTGGGAAGGGTGAGTGGAGGAGGCGAAGAGATGGGAGGAAATAAGACATTACCCTCAAGAGGGTTCCTTAGCCCAGGGAAAGAGGCCAGGATCCCTGGGCTCAGTTTTCAGTGATGTGATGAGAACGGGCCTACTGAGATACCTGTGCAGTGGTGGTTATTGCACTCTATGCTACAATCCTTTCGGATGAAGATCAGTTTTTAAATTTAAAAATAAACAGAAACATAAATGTACTGCAAAAGGAGAAAATTACGTGAATCCACAAAGCCCCTCACTATATCCTTTCCTAACTTGATATTAGGTAGAAACGGGGGGGTAATTGTTTTTGCTTTTTACTATGTTATGCATTTTTGTGTGATCCCTGGGTGAAGGGTGATGTAGAAATATAATGTTAAAAAATAATAAATAACTAAAATATAGTCTGTGCATCAGGACACAGGGAGGAAGATGTGAGACGAATCTGAGATGCCATGTTCACTTTCTACTGGTCCATTATTTTTTTTGCAGTTGCCTGGGGCTCTTGGTCTGACCATGTTCGTGGTTGGTGGGAGGCCAAGGACCGTCACCCAGTCCTCTACCTCTTTTATGAAGATATGAAAGAGGTAAGAAGGTCTCTCTCTCACACACATCTCAAAGACGGTACTTTCTGACGGCAGTGCCGCAGTCTAGCAAGAAACAAATGTGAGGGGGGCACTTAGGCGTTTCCAAAAAAACGACATGCATCACAAAAAAGAGGACATTGATTTGCATACAATGTGGACCTGCTGGTGTATATGCATAGTTGCAAATATTTAAACAATTACTGTAATTTAAATAGCAACACAGTTATAACTCACCATTGCGAGGAAGACTGTAATCGGGCGGCCTGTGTGTTTGCTCAATCTGCTGTTCTGATGCTGTTGATGGGCATCTTCAAGGCCCCCGCTCTCCTTTCTTGTGCTTCTCCATCTTCCACCTGGACTTGGGCCAGACAGCCTTTCGGCTAGAGGACTGCCCTCTGTTAAGTAGGAGACACAGCCTCCCTAAAGCCAGGGAGGTGCCTTAAGGTAAACTCTCTATCACTAACATGTCAAATCCTCCTTCCCATGTGGTCTTTCTCTCCTTAGGACCCAGCCCGGGAAATCCGAAAAGTGATCCAATTTATGGGCCTAGAACTGCCAGAATCAGTTCTGAACCAGATTGTGGAGCACACAAAGTTTGAGAGCATGAAAGCAAACCCGATGGCTAATTACAGCACCCTGCCCTCCTCTCTCGTGGACCATACTGTCTCACCCTTCATGAGAAAAGGTGAGAGAAAACAGGTCTTAGGGGACTGTTTGGAGAATCTGCAGAATGCAGGAGGGGGAGGGAGTGTTGTCACATTCTAAATGGGGCAAAAGCAAAGTCTGGAAGTTATTTCTTTTTATTGGGGCTGGGAACTGGTTTGGGCTTCTTGTTCGACAATATCAGAAGTGTAGAAGCAATTGCCAAGCATGGAACAGGGGGCTGGGGAGATGAGAAATGTTATTTGCTAGGTGAGGTCAAACATAAAAGGCCACCCTGTAAGACAATTAAATTACCAGGATCTGAAATTACCTAGTGGTTCTGCTCTTGCTAGGAGGGTAACAGTAAGACTCAGCAGGCTGTGTTTGCTTTGGAACATTTCCCAGGTGCTCTGCAGTGAACTGCAATTGTGGCAGAAGTTCAGGGTCCCATAAAGACAGAGTATGAAACGCAAGACTGCTAGCAAAGGCGCCTGGCAAAACCAGGCTGTCAATGTTTTTCTTTTCTGACCTGGTTTCCCACCTGCAGGCACTGTTGGAAACTGGAAGAAACACTTCACAGTGGCTCAGAGTGAATGGCTAGATGACACCTGCGCTCAGTTACTGAAGGGCAGCGGCCTGAACTTTCGCACAGAGATATAAACGCACCTCTATGCCCCACATCAGGATTTTCACAACAACAGGCCTGGAGTGCTGACTTGACCTGCATTCAGTACAATACAGGACTGAAGCCACAAGCAAGGCCTACCTAAAATGAATTTTGTGGGAATGGTTCCTGTTATGTACTGAAGTTCTCACCCTGGGCCAGCAGGAGGATACTGTAGATAGTTATGCAAATAAGGGATCGAAAGTGACGTTCAGTAATTGGATAGTTTTAGAAAATTGTTACAGTTACATTGTACTGGAGCTATATATAAGCAGGCTGACTGAACCCTTCAGTTCAGTTCTGTCCTGGCCTGTGAATAAACAAGAGCTGCTTGAAGAATCGCTGTGTCGTCTGATATGTTCACCCACAACTTAACAGTTCCTGTTCCATTTTAGAATTTGTGGCTGTCCTTTGTTTGCTTTTGCAAAGTAAATAAACAAACAGGTTTGCTCTCTTGCCATGCTTGCTTTTCTCCATGTTCAGAGAATAAGCCCTTACAGAACACAAATAACCCCTCCTCTGAAAGTGCTATTTGCATTGGCCGGAAATCCTCATTTCCAAAAGAAGAGACTATAGGCTGGAGTTCTGGTTGTTCTGCTTGCCTTAGGGCAGGGATGGGGAACCTCTGCCCCCCCCCGATGTTGCTGAACTACAACTCCCATCATCCTTCACCATTGGCAATGCTGTCTAGGGTTGATAGGAATTGGAGTCCAACAACATATGGAGGCCCAGAGTCTGTTTCTCTGCACTTTAACCCTCTAAATGGCAAGATGGTCTGTTGCTGAAGGATAAGGCCATGATGGAGAAAGGTGGACAACGATTCCTACTTCCTTGTGTTTTTTGACAAGGATTGCCTCCTGTTTTCTCTGGCAGTCTTCAAGCAGAAAATCCACATTTCTCAAGAGGCAGAGCCCATTTGGCTCCCTTCCATGTATGTAATATGTAACCAGACTTACATAAAATTTAGGAGTACCTGTTAAGAGTTGGAGATACGACTCCACCCATGAACTTTGGATTGCTTAGGAAATGGTCCCACTCGTCTTTTTGAGCGCCTGGCAGACAACAGTCATGTTGGGGGCAAAAAAGGGTAGGGTGCCCTGGACTTGAAGGGTGCATTCAGATGGGGCAGTGTGAGTTTTCCTGCATACAGTATAATGCTAGAACTTCTGCCCCATTTTCTGACAGTCCTGAACTGTGACATTTGACCAATATATTGGAACGCTGAACTAAATTTTACTCACTCCAGTAGGTGTGGCACAACAGCAAACACCCATAAAAAATATCGGAGCGGTTTACAACAATTGCACATAAAACCATGTGCTAAAAACCATATAAAAAGTTAAAATCTGCCTTGCCAATACCTGAAGATTTCCCTACAATGCCTCTCTCTATATATAAAATGACGGTTCAACAGCACACCTAGTAGTATGTTTCTACAGCAAAGATTCCATGTTGAGGGTTTTAGTTACATAATCCTATGTTGAGGGGAGGTACCTATTTATCTACTTGCACTTTGACGTGCTTTCGAACTCCTAGGTTGGCTGGAATGTTGAGGGGAGGTAAACCCATGAAAATCAATGGACTTTTAGCATTGCTTAAATCTGCATAGGATTGGAATGTGAAAGGCGATTCAACTGGTGTAGCGCTCCCTACATCTGTATGTCGGGGAGAGCTGCACCACACGGATCTATGCTATTCCTTCAGCCTTTAAAAAGTAGCCCCACCACGCTAAATATGTTTTGGGGATGGAGGATGTTATGTATTGAAGTTCTCACACTGGCCACCAGGAGTATCATGTACATAGTTTTCACTCAGGTCTATGTCAGTTACGTACTTTAGGCGGGAAACCCTGCGTTGCTACAATGTTGATAGCCGGCTGCCTATAAAAGCAGGCCGGCTGAGCTGTTTGTTGTTCAGTTCTGTTCCAGCTTACAAATAAAGAGGTGCTTTGGAGAAATCGCCAAGTCGTCTGCTCTGTCTACCCACAACTTAACAGAGGACATCATTTTTAAGCAAGCAAAAGGGAACATCTGTCCCTGCCTGTTCCGAGCTTTCCACGTTCGCGTCTATTTCCACCGATATTGCCTCTTACACCGAGGTTCTTGCCACCCGCAATCGGGAACCAGAAGTTTATGCAAACAACCATCACGACTGAACCCCCTTTGGGTTTCGCTTCTCGTTTGATAGGCGCCTCAGACCGCGTTGCCCCATGGGAACTGTAGTGCCGCTGCGTACACCTGAGTCTACTTAAGAGAGCGGCAACGTCTACGCGGCTTGACTACCTGCTGGGCGCGATGCCTTATGGGAAAGACAAGCCCCTCTTCACCCACGCGCGCGCGCGCGCAGTGCCTTTCGGGAGCTGTAGTTTCCTTGCTTCCGCTCCGCTTCCCAGGCTTCCTTGCCGTTTCCGTTGGCTCCTCGCTCTCCGGTAGCCATGCCTGGGGGCAAGGGTGGGAAGCCCCGCGAGGCCGCGAACCCGGCGGCCGCGAGTGTGTCTGAATCCGTGACCGAGCGGGTCCTGCGGGAGGCGCACTCGCTTTATGTGCATCCGGGTCATGGTGAGAGTTGGGGATGGGGCAAGAAGATGGGGGGGGTCTTCCTGGGTCGGGGGGGGGCGACTGAAGGGTTGCGTGGCGGGCGTGTGTGCAGGAGCTAACCTTTCCCCTCCCCCTCCCAGGGCTGGTTTCCATTGGGGGGCGCCTGGGCCTGACTCTGCTCCCACCACGCCGCAAAGTGACTGTCATGGTGATGGGGAACCACAGTGCTGGCAAGAGCAGCTTCATCAACTGGTGAGCTGAAGAGGGATATACAAAGGAGGGCAAAGGCACCCATAGAAATGGCAGGGTTGGAAGGGACCCCAAGGGTCATCCAGACCAACCCCTGCAGTGCACGGATCTTTTGCCCAAAGTGGGACTCGAACCCACAACCCTGACACTGAGAGACTCATTTTGGGCAAACCCAAGTGAGCTGGAAGCAGAGTATCGTGCCAAGGGGTGTGTTGGCATGGGTGCATGGCAGTGCCGAATTTACGTATAAGCTAAACAAGCTATAGCTTAGGGCCCCACTCTCTTGGGCTCCCCCCAAAAAAATTAAAGGGAAAAAACTACTGGATGTACATTTCCAAAATATTAGATAAAAAAACAAATAAAATAAAACCTACATACAGCAACAGTGGCAAATGGCTTTAGATACCTGTTAGGTCCATAAATTACCATATAGCATATATTCAACACGAAAAACAGCAACAATTTGTTGTTGACAAAGGACAGCTGGACATATAAAGGGCCCCATTACCTTCAGTAGCTTAGGGCCTCATCAAACCTAAATCTGGCCCTGGGTGCATAGCACTCTGGGGAAATCCTATGAGGTTTCGTGGTGGTGCATTTCAAGTCTCTGTCAAACTTCCAGTTCACCCCCCCCCCAGGTGTTTGATGACTTGAGGAAGGTGTTGCTGCTGTATAGGAGGCATTGGGGTGTCTGCAAGGCTGTTAGGGTGGTTTCTTAACACTGATAGGTAAAGGTACCCCTGCCCGTACGGGCCAGTCTTGACAGACTCTGGGGTTGTGCGCCCATCTCACTTAAGAGGCCAGGGGCCAGCGCTGTCCGGAGACACTTCGGGGTCACGTGGCCAGCGTGACAATCTGCATCTGGCAAGCCAGCGCAGCACACGGAAACGCTATTACCTTCCCGCTATAAAGCGGTCCCTATTTATCTACTTGCACCTGGGGGTGCTTTCGAACTGCTAGGTTGGCAGGCGCTGGGACCGAGCAACGGGAGCGCACCCCGCTGCGGGGATTCGAACCGCCGACCTTTCGATCGGCAAGCCCTAGGCGCTGAGGCTTTTACCCACAGCGCCACCCGCGTCCCTCTTAACACTGATACATAGTAACAAAAGATACAGGTGTCATTTCGTGGAACTCTTTGGTATTTATGCAAGATACAGTTTGCTATGAATTATTGCCAGTTGATGGGTTGGACAGGATATTCTGAGTACCAGAGGGCTCGCATTCATACTGGCTGGTTTCAGTATGCAAAGAGGGGGCTATAATCTATAAGATACCCAGGGTAGTTTTGTGGTGGGAATGGGTCAAATGACATTTCCATCATTCAAAAGCATCTTGTTCCCTTCAATGTTTTCCTGCAGGTATGTTGAGGAGCACATTCAACGAACCGGTGTAGCTATTGAGACTCAGGGTTTCACCTTCATCACTAGTGGAAGGAAGCGAGAATCTCTCACGGTGAGTATTTCCTATAGGCAAGGAGTTCCTAAGTAAAGGTGGTACCACACTCACAAAGATTGATTCCTTGTAAATGTGTAACAGTATCAGTTCCACTTATATAAGCAGTTGAGTGTATAAGGTGATCTGGAATAACTGAAGAACTTAAATAATGAATTCACATATAGGATGGACCTATGGCCAAGATTTTGTCTGATCTTTTCAATGCTATCTGTACTGTAGTACAGTATCCTGTGTTCTAACCTTTTTTGTCCCCCCCCCTCCTTTACAGGGTAATGCCACACTCCATCTGTACCCCCATTTCCAGGCCTTGCAGAGTTTCAAAGGTTAGTTGCAAATAATTAAGAGCAAGGAGTGGACCTCTGCATTAAACGGTGACATGAATTGAATCAGTAGTTCCTTAAGGCAGGCAACTGGCATCTACAGGATTTGTGGGTGGCTGTTGCAATCATGCCATCAAGTCATTGAGATATGTGGTGTTGTGGAACTCCGCCACCTTGAGTTACATCACCACAGTGGGTAGAATGATTTGGAGTATGATGTTTGTTTTCAGGAGAGGTAGAGAACAGACACAGTGCTTAGCATCTGTCAGTGGTAAGAGCCTACTTCAGAGTCTTAATTTTGCCTCCCCCCTTTCTTTTAGGTGTGCCAGAGTACCTGAGCACTGAGATCTGTACCTCTAAGCAGAAGCAGTTCCCCCTGGTCACTTTCCTTGACACGCCAGGCTTGGTGGACGGAGACATGAAATATCCTTTTGATGTGGAAGGGGCACTTATCTGGTTTGGTGAGTGTAGCAGTGTGGATAAGTGGAATGGCGTTGTCTCCTGCCATAGATTCTCGTAATGAATTCCTCTTTTGGAGGCATTATGCCTCTGAATACCAATTGCTGGGCATTGTGCTCGGGTTCAGCTTGCAGGCTTCCTACAGGGATCTTGATTGATCATTGTGAGGACTGAGTGTTGGACTAGATGGGGCTTTGGCCTGATCCGGCAGGCTTTCTTTTTGTTCTTAATCCAGAGCAAAGATGAGGAACCTGTAAGCCTCCAGGTGTCATTGAACATCAACTCCCATTATCCCTTACCATTGGCTGTGCCAGCTGGGGCTGAAGGGAATTGGAGTCCAGTGACACCTGGAGGGCCACATTTTCACCATTCTGATCTAGAAAAAGCATTGGGAAGAACTGTTATTCTGGATCAAGCTAGTATTCAAATGAAAATGGACCTGTGTGGGGACAACTGGAATGGAGGTATAAAGAAAGGAAACTCGGGTACAAAGATGTGGTGGTGGTTGGAATCTGGAGGGAAAATTGATTGTTTTGCTGTTTTCTTTCCTAATTAGGTTTTTGCTGTTTTTTTCATAATTAGTAATAAGTGTCTTTGGGAGAATTTGTGAAAATATCTTTGCAAGTTATGATAAAACTTTGTGGCAAGAATTCATAGAGAAATGCTGCATTGCCACAGTGGCCGTAGGGATAATATTTTAGCACGAGGCATCTTTTACTGTAGATTAACTCCCTTCTTCTGCCATTGTCTTGCTTCCAGGCCAGCTCTGCGACCTCATCCTGGTCTTTTTTGACCCCATGGGACAGGCCCTTTGCAAACGCACTCTCAACATTGTGGAGAACCTCAATGAGGGGCACGGAGACAAGCTGCATTTTTACCTCAGCAAGGCAGATGAGGCGGGTGCAGAAGGTGACAGACAGGTACTCACAGGGTGAGGTTGTCTTGGGGATAATGATCAAGAAACGGGAGACAGAATGTCTGTTTCAATAAGGGAAGCAGCCTAGAGCAGCACAAGGTCTTTCCCTTTTTTCTTGATTCTGATCTGTTCTCTTTCCTGACAGAGGGTGCTGATGCAAATTGTCCAGGAACTCTGCAAGCGCCCAGGCCTCAATAAGTGCGGGTTTGATATGCCCACAATCTACATCCCCAACTCCAATAAGGTGAGTGGCAACCCTTTGCCATTTCAGAGGTGGGAGTGATGGGTAAGCCTCCATGAAGTAAAGTTAGTGAAAAGGTGGGAAGCCTTGGGAAGAGGGAAGAAAAAATGCAAAACAATTGCACCTTGGTGTGTTTGAGAAAAGTGAGATTTGCTAGGAGGATGTTGATGGGCTATGAATGGTGGTATGTGTAACCAGCCTAACACTGTCCCTCAGCCAAGCCGGTGCGTTAATCAGATCGAGGAGATCTGCCGAACCATCGAGAAGACCATCAGCCAAACTGTGCAGCACACACTCAACGCTTTGGAGCGGGACTGCCACCTCATCGAGGAGGCCACGCAGCGTTTGCTAGAAGAGGACAAGTAAGAGCGCAGCATTGTGGGAAGCGAAAGAAGAATGTCTTGAACGTTGCCATATTCCCCATAAGAGCTGGAGCTGCTTGTCAGTCTGTGAAGGGCTGGCTGTGAGAAGCAGGGAGCAGGGTAGTGCATCAAATCACAGGTGGAAGAATGGAGTGTGAAGTTTTTATGGCATGAAAAGGCGGGTTAGCGAGCCCACCTGGCCGCCCTGAAGTGAAATGCATGTGGGAGGGACATTGAGGAGTTAATTAACGTGTGTTTGGGGCCGGAGAGATCTTCTCTAGAAATTGTGAAAGAGATTGGAGAGGGAATCAGGAAATAGACATCTATGAGTGCATTAGGGGTAGCAGGATTTGAGTGCCTGGGACATTGTAGTGGTCTTCCTCGTTCCCAAGTGTGTGTGTTTTGCTCTTTTTCTCTCCTCTCTATGTGCCCAGCGTGGCCAGAAACAGCAACTTCCGCGCTCGTTTCCGGGGAGCGCTGCTTGGGCTAGCAGGCTGCCTCCTGCCCATCTTTCTCCTCGTGACCTTGCTCTTTGGTACAGCCTTTGCTCGCCAACTCTGGACTTTGGTATTGGGAGAAGAGCAAAGCCAGGCGTTAGAGCTGTCCATGGTGAGTGCTTTTTTTTTGCTTACCTTCCCTCAATTCAGCTTCCCATTGCTCCTCAGTGCCCCATAATCACTATTTCCCCCCGTGCTTTCTCAGGATGCTCCTCAGTTAAGCTGCATTACACTTTTTATGACTGGAGCCATGTATTATCCACATTTCTGTGCAAGTGTAAAAGTAATAGTGTAGCAGAATCTCTGCTTTCATTTGGAGGGGCAGGGGAGAGGCGAAGCCATATTTTAGCTTTCATGTATAAGAGGATAGACAGGTTTGAAAGCAAGCTTTTAAAAGGAGCAATTAGAAAATTGCCATTCTTTCCTCACTTGTGCATCTCTGGAGGGTGGAAGAAATAAGTCAGAAGGTTGTATCCAGGCTTTACCCAGACTAGACCCACTGAAAAGAATGGAAAAAAGAAAAAAGAAAAGAATGGACCTAAGTTAATAGTGCACATTATTATTAATGGGCATCCTCTGAGTGTGACTAACTGGATATACCCTGTAGTCACAAATGCTAGATCAGTGTTTCCCAACCTTGGGCCTCCAGCTGTTTTTGAACTACAATTCCCATCATCCCTGACCACTGGTCTTGCTAGCTAGGCATGATGGGAGTTGTAGTCCAAAAACAGCTGGAGGCCCAAGGTTGGGAAACACTGTGCTAGATAAATTAACTTTGATAAAGATAACTATGGCTGTGTGCTGTCTATAATTCTTCCCCTATGCAACATGGTTTCAGGATTCAGTGCAGTAAGAATCCCAGTTTTCTTTCTTTCTTTTTTCTTAAATATGAAAACTGTGTTTTTTGGGGAGGAAACAACCGTGGTTCTTTAAAAAGTAAACAAAATAAATTTGGGCAGCGCCTAGATAGTAGAACACTTGATGATAAATATAATTAAAGCATGCATGCTTATATTGCTTATTTTTTTCAGGACACAGAATTTCAATTTTGTCAGTAGGAAATTTGGATTGCCTTGCCATAAAATGTTTGGAGTTTTAGTAAAAAAATATTTAAAGCAAATAGTATGTGAGCTCTTATGATTTCCTCTGCGAATAAAAACTCTTGTGTCTTACACCCACTATCTTATTTTTCAGCGTCCAGTTGCTTCCATGTGGAGCCTTGTCCCTGAAGAGCAAACCTTAACAGTATTCTTTGGTCTTCTCGGCCTCTCAATTCTCCTCCTGCTCTTGGCCAGTTACACTTTCAGGTAAGAAGCTCTCTCAGCTTAACGCTAAGAGAGCCTTGTGCAGAGGAGACATGCACCACACTAACGTATCCCTCCTCCTTTCTTGTTTAGGACAAAGCCCACTCTCTCAAAGAAACAGAAGCGGCAGCTGGAGGACAGGCGAGACTACGTAGTGGACGTGGTGCTAGAAAAAAAGGTTGACAGCTTTGGGAATTTGGTTTGGAGTTATGACACGGGGCTTGGCATCTGTGCCAAAGGATCATGCTTAGGAGAGGCAGGGTTCATGACTCCTGTGTGGGATTCTGGGTAATGGTAGGTTGGGGATATCCTTCCTAGGAGAAGGGGCTGGCCAGTATATCAGCTTACAACTAATTCTGTTTTTCTGCAGAGACAGCTCTATGAGGAATACCTTCGCCAAAGCATCGGCGAGCAGGACCTGAGCTGAAACTCCTCCCTAATGGATTCAAAGAGACTGCCAATCCCCTGCCACGTTAATATCTCTCCCCTCTGAGTCACTCCAGAGAACAGAGATTTGTACAGCAACTGTGAACCGTCCTAAGGGGCCAGGGTTTTTTTTTTTAAAAATGCCACTTCATGGGACTCTAATTGACTTGGCATCTGTTCTACATAGGTCAACTCCATGTATTTAATTGGATAGGAGTGGGCACCCTGTGTTCTTCTGAACTGGGATCAATCACACCAGTGGTGCCCTGCGTCCGCACTTGTTACAAGTCCTGCTAAGGCTGCTACACTTAACTTTTAATGGGATGGTGCCTCTGGCCTTTTCTGTGGCCTCATGAGGGAGCAACAGCAGCCTTGTCCAGCTGCTTTTTGCACCTGATTGAACTATGTCACTCCTAAATAACCAAGTTTTTAATTGGCAACACTATAAGCTGATAATGCTCTTTTACTGGCTACTAACATCATTTTCATTAAGATGGGGACCACCTGTCTTCATGACCCTAACTTGGTACTCCCCTCCTTTGGCAATGCATCACCTCTGCATCACTTCCACCTGTAACTAGCCTTGGCCCATCCACTGTCCCTTAGGATGACTTTTGTCTCTGTTAAATGTCAGGTTCAGTGTCTTCTTCTTCTCCTTTGGCAAGCAATACCTCATACCTCTGAACATCTCTGGATGTTGCATTAGGACTTGGAGATGCCCATGTCATCCTCCGTCTCACACTACGAAGTGCCTTCAACTGATACCAGCTCTTGAGGGGAAGTTAGGACATTTTTGCCGATAACCACTGTCCTCTCGTTCATTCTGCAGTCCTACCTATGCTGATACTTAACGCTGTGAATTCTCACCATAACTGCATTTTTAATATAAGCTATACTGTCTCCAGCACTCATTGTAGCATACTGGGAGTCTCATCCCACACATCTAGTGGCACCTGTCTGGAAAAAAGGGGCTGTCTCAGCTAATTTCCCTCATATGGGTCCCTCAGCTGCATTCATTGATTCTCAGACATCTCCGTTGTAATCTCTGTGCCTCGTGAAATGGCTAAAGATAGTGTGTCCATGAGAGACTGATCTTGCCATCTGTTTTGAGATACTCCACATATTGAGGCAAGTGACAGTAGCAGTAACCAATCATGTTGTGAGGATCAGAAACCTTTCAGTGTAGAGGGAGGTATTTTTCTCTAATCCCTTGCTTTAAGAGACTTGGATCTAAACCATGATCCAAGAGAAATGGCTTAATTTGAGTTTCTAAATTACCCTCACAGCTGCACAAAAATGTTACAATCGGGGTTATAACTTCTCAAGCCCTATCCCCAAATGGGATTGTGGTGGTGCTAGTCAATGGAACAGGGGTGCAAGAGTTCAATTTCAATTGTCTTTCTCTCCTTACAAACAGAAAATAGCCCATGGTATGTATGCCAACTACCAACTTCCAAGTTTGTCAAGATATTGCTTAGCTTCAGGAAAGGAGAGGAGCCAGAATTTATGGCTGTGTCACTGCTAATCGGCTCACCATTTTGGTTCCTCCCCACCACTTTCTGAAGCTTTGTGTCTTTTGTTGGTACGAACTGATACTAAGGCGGTGATGGGGAAGAGGAGGGGCGTAGCCTGAAATTCGTAAAATGTACTCATTAGAAGCTGTTTTAAAATTTGCTGGTATGAACCCCTTGCCTAGGGCTTCAGTAAAACAAGTTTCTCTTTCCGCAATGTGCTCCAGCAAACATTACCACTAAGGGTGGGTGTGGGGAGGATGGCGCATTTAATAAAGCTCACTGTAGAATTTGCCTTGGCTTCTTTTTTTCATCCAGAAGCTTTTAGTCCGCGCATGTAGCCCCTCCTGGTTTTAATTTCTGCTTTTTCCTCATGTTTCCTGGCCCAGCTCCATTCAAATGAGTGTCACAAGAAAACAGTCATGCATCTTTATTTAATCTAGAAAGTACATTGGTTTGGGGTGTGCAATTTGAATATATTGCCTTCCCTTCTGCCCTTTCTGGTGCTCTGTGGATGCAGCTTTTCTATGAATTCATGCTATCCATGATTTTCCCAGTTTCACTACTTGTAGATCACCAGCTACCACCCCAAAATTGGGAAAAGGGCAAAGACTTTTACATAGGCAGTTACATATCAGTAAGTAAACGAGTGAAGAGTTTCCAGCCCCAGGCAAGATATTAAAATCTGTATATTGTTTATTTGATACATTTGTATATCAACTGTATATAACCCTTTGTAAATTTACCTCAGGGCAGTTTGCAATACAATTTTAAAAACCCAAACCCAAATGGAAAGGCTTGGAAGGTTTTATTTTCTATTCTGAGCTTAAATATGCGTCCTTCCATTGGCCTTTATGAGGTGAGAGGGATGGCTGCTGCGGCCGTCTCTTCCTCATTCTCATCCTCGTTGGTTTTTGGGCTGGGCTGCGGTCATCTTGACCATCTTCAGCGTCACTCTCACTTGCTGCGAGCAGTAGACCTTGTTCCTCCTCAAAAGAAACCACCGTTGCGTGGCGTTCAGCTATCTCCGTATCGACGTTGCCGTTGTGTCCAGAACCTGAGTATTGTGATCAGACTCAGAGCTGTGGGGGGAGAAAGGGAGGGAAAGATTTGTGAGCAGTGCACATCACAACTTCCTGCGGCCAATGTGTGAGTATTAGCTTGACACCTGATCCACACCCAGTAGTGAAGTGAAGGGATTTTAAATATGCATTACCCTAAATTTGTACCGCTCACATTGTTTTTGATTATGTCTCTTGCCTTTAAAAAAGGGGCAGCCCCTTTTTTATATTGTGGACATCTTGTTCATGTAAGTGGCAGCCGTTTTGGGTGGTATCCTTTCATTGGCAGAAGGGCGGCCATTTTGTTAAGCAGCACAGAGGAGGCCTCTCACCTGCGTTTTTCATTTCTTGGATGCTGTTCCTTTCCGTTTTTGCTCCGTGCGTTGCAGCTTCAATACTATCTTACGTTCATGGCCCCCAGGATTTGGGCGGTTTGTGTGATCCTCCGCCTCTTTCTTGGAACGACCTTTGCGGGAGGAGCCACCTGGTGGAACCAAACACAAGTTAATAGTATTCTGCATCACAGGCAGTTGGACTATAATTTCCCCAAACGGCTAATTATTTTGAGGGTGAGGGGTGGCCATGCACTAGCTTGCATCTGCTTCTCTAGTGTTATTAGGGGTAGGGATTCTGCAGCTTTTAGCTAATGCTAATTTCACCACACACCCCTAGCCTAAGAAGCAGGTTTCTTCCAGAGAAGTGAGCTGCTATGGCCTGTCCTTTGCATACGCAGTTTTCCTGGGTGATGAAGAAAAGCAGCCTAGGGAGCTGTGACTTAAGCCCTTTAACCTTTTCCTCTGTGGTCATTTTTTGCTACTCGAAATCATACCCTCTAGCTGCTTTTCCACCCATGGAGGAAAAGACTTGAACAGCTACAGGTGATTCATGCAGCGACAGTAGATCTTTGCTAGTCATCTTGTGAATCAGGCACTACCAGAGTGATTCACATTTATGCATGGCTCTGTTTGTGAAGAGCATTCCAATGGTAACTTGGGGCTGTTTGTTTATAAGGAAAAACGCACCACATGACTGACCCACAACATCCAGGGATGCCTTCGCTTAGTACTGATTTGTTAACCCTTTGATATCCTTTTCCCTCGCTGTAGGCAAGCCTAAAATGACTACAGTATAATGCTATTACAGACCAGTAACCTGTTTTAACCAACCTCATAGCAGCACACAGCTGAAGAGGTTAAAGATGCACAAAAACTTGGCTTGCAAGGCATGTATGTGGGTGAAGCTGGAATTCAAATTTTAGGGTGGGGGATTTGTGAGAAGGGAATCAGGGGTGTTAGAATTTAATGCAGCAAACAGAGGTGCAATCTTTTGCACGGGATCACTCACAGCTTGCTGTTCAACATTACGGTTTTACACTGCCCCTAGCTCCCTGCCATCCTTCTATACGTTTCTTCTTTATCTATGCCAGTGTTTTTCAAACGACCCAGAGCATAGTTTCTACTGCAACCCTAAGAATCCCTTCACAATATGGGATTTTCCCGCCCTTGGGTTCTCCCCCATTTCTGCAGTGCACTTACTGCTGTATCTGTCCGTCAGGCTGTAGAAATCATACTGGTCAAAGTATTCCACCTCGAAAGGCGTTGGGTGTAGCTTCTCGACTTGGACGAAAGAAGTCGACATGCTGGGACCGATCTTTCGTTGACAGCTAGTGGAGAAAAAGGAAGGAAGGAATGACAACAATCAGGAGTTCAAAGTGCTATCTGTCTTCTCTGTGAGCCTGTTTTTCTCTCTCAATGTGTTTGGGAGACAACATATATATATACACCCCCAACAACACCCACAATTGCATCATCCTCTTCCACCCCTTAAAGCTACAGGCAACAGATCTCAGAATCTGATGCAACTGGTAAAATATCTGATGCTGCCAATCTCCTTCACGTGACAATACAATCTCCTTTTCCGTATACTCAAGGACTTCCCACTCCCACCCCTCACCTGATCCTATAACCAAAACTTCCCGTCAAGAACATGCAATCCAAACATCTCCTGAGTAATTTGATTAGCACAACGAATGTTGCCCAGAGGCTTATGTGAAATGTAAATTTCTCTGCAAGGTGGTTACCCGGGAGTGCTGAGGGCTGGGCATCATTCTGCTCACAAGATGACCTGATCCACTTTGTGTATATTTGAGAGGGTCTATGTGTCGATCATTAATGTCTATTGACCATGACTGTCTTTGACAGAAAGCTGAAATAATCAACATTATAACCACATTCCTTAGTTCAGGTGTAGAATCTACTGCTTACTTTTTATTGATCACGTACTCAAAATTACAGTGTGAACTACTTGTTAGATTAGTGGACTAGTAACTAGGACTATTACTTCCAGATAAGTTAGTCCTGTTAGTCCGTTCCACGGGGAAAATTTTTTTTTGCAGCACAATCAAGACTAGTAGATTATGGCATAAACTTTCAACTCCATTGCATCATATCTGTCTATGAATCAATATGCCATAGATCTGATGGCATATGCTTCACAAAAGCTTATGCCAAAATAATCTGTTTTTAAAGTGCCACAAGATTATTTTTTTTAATGTGGACTAGTAACATCTTTAAATTACCCTTCTGGGCATACAGAGTTCTAGTGTTTATATCTTATTTCAGTGCAATCTTGCCTATGGAATGATGATTCTACGCTGTGTTATACTGGCTTACATATTGTAAAAGCCACTTTAAATTGTCCCACACAGTGTAGTGAGTGGTTTGTATAATACCTTGCAGCACCAAGTAAGCAGTGTTTACTTCCATCACTGCACCTGAGAAACTAGGTTTGTAATGCCACGGAGCACAGGATTGTTCTTTAATGGGCTGAAGCTACAGGAGGGTAAATTTTGATAGAATATTAGGAGAAACTCATTGACAGCAAACACTGTTTGAAAATAGAGCCACCTGCTAAGAGCTCTCCTTCGGTGGAGATCTTCAGGCAGAGGATGGATAGGTGGACATCTTTTGTGGGTGCTCTAGCTTAGGATTTCCTGTGTGGAGCAAGGGGTGGGGTGGGCCAGAAGTCCTTCATGCCCCCTCCAACTCTGTGATTGTGTTGGATAGCAATCGCCACCAGAAGTGGTCTAAAGTGGCTTTCATATATTCCAGGCCCCTTATCCTATGCTGAGATACGTCTTCTTGCATTTCCGGCTCCATGCTTTTGTGTCTCTCTTGTAGCTTCTGGCGTCCACCTGCAAGCTGAGATTCCCCACATCTGCTGAACAGATAGACAGGGGATCCCTGTGTGCTGAGCATGGATGCCATAGGCTGGCCATCTGTTGCAGAGGGCAGTCCTCTGTTGGAAGGAATCCTCTGTTTTTATATGCAACTGCCAGGGATTGGGAGTCCCTGTGTGATTAAAGGCCTTATAATATTTCTCTAGTGTCTGTTAAGATGCTAATCTACACATGCTCTGAGAAATTATTCATATAGAACCAAGAAATGCAATCCAATTTATCGGCTTTTTATCCCGCTGTTCCTCAAAGAAGCTCAAGCTGGCACACACCTCTCCTCCAGCTCCCCTGCATTTTATCCTCACAGCAACCCTTTGAGGTAGTTTAGGCTGAGGGTGCATGACTGGCCCAAGGTGGACTTCATTGCTGAGAGGGAATTTGAACCCAGGATCGCTGGTCCTTGTCTAACCCTACGTACTGTGCCACACCAGTTTGTGGAATCAACTCTAGACCCAAATTTTGATCTGTTATTTCTTTTTGCTGGTGTGCTGCCCTGCATTTTCTACCTGGTGTTATGTCTCACGTTCCCCCTAGGCAGGGCCCTTTCGCTCTCTTTTCCTAATTTGTGTATTTTTATCTGACTGAGTCCTTGTGGTTTGGATCCTGCCCAAGACACACAAGCAGATCAAGTCACAAGGAGAGGCTGAGTCAATGTTATTGTTATGCTCCAAGGTGACTCTACTGCTGTTCCTGTTTTTCCTTGAAGCAATACTTTTTCCCATACCAGATCCCAGCTACTGCTCTTATGCTGTTAATTGGGTTGCAGTGGAAGCTAGAGTTGTTTTAAGAGTAAGAGATGAAGAGGCAAAGTGCCGTACGTGTGTGTGGTTCTGTGTTCAACAGAAATCTAGAGACAGCTGTCACATTAACCATTTTTGCCAAAACAGACGTAATGTGAGAGATCTGTGGTGGTATTGCCTGACCTTATTTTTTTTAAATTCTTAAATTAGCCATGGGGGTGGGTGGGGGTGAAATTTTTAGCAGAGCAGCTGACCTGG